AGAGCAAAGACAGCCAGGATCATTTCCACCTCCTCCTCCTGGTACTGACCCTAACACAAAATAGGGTAGACCAGAATTTGGATGCTTTAGGACCCACGTGTCAGAAACTCTAGACCTTTGCCCCAAGCCATGGCAGACCAACCGTATGAGCCCTTGACTCAGGCTCGCTTTTGAGCTGGGGGGAGGGGAGAGGACTCCAAGATAGATGTGGACATGCCACATGCTCGAGGTGGGTTTACTGCCCCACAGAAGCAATGCGTAATAACCTGGGTGACCTGGTGCTCACCTCTAGTGTTCCAGGTAGGGCTGCGCCGACTTGGCCTCTGTCCCCCAAAACCACCTGCTCACTGTGAGTCTCTGGAGCGGGAGTGCTGCTGCTGAGGACTTGTGGTCTGAGAAAGGGCTTGGGGAGGAACGCTTCCAGCCACTGGGAGCACGGAATGGTGTGCCCTCCAGAAGCATGTTGACTGCCTGCCTAAGTCATCGGTCAGCCAGGATCTTTTGTCCCCCAGATTACAGGGTTCCTGGGAAGGACAGCTGCTTAGGCAGCTCCTATCCACAACAGTGACTGCACATGGTGTGTCCAGGCCAGGGTATCTGGGTGTAAGATACCACATTGAAGGTCAAGAGGAGGGATTTCTGGCTCTATTAACTCTTGGTGAAAATATGCATAGTTTGAACTAAAGCCAACCTGCCCTGGCTGTAAATCCCTCAAATGCATGGCACCACGCCTCTAATCATCCCACGCTGGGTGTTTGCCAAGGTTTTCTTTAAAACGTTTCCTCTTTCCTCCTATTTCTTTTTTGTTTGTTTTGGTTTCAACTTTTATACACAAATCACATTCCCAGAAAGCAGAGTGAAAAAGCTTCTTTCCTCATACACATGCTGCTAAGAAAATAGTTTTATACACAGAATTTCAACAGGAGAGAGAAAAGGATAGGGAGGGAGGGGTGCAAGAGAGATGCTGAAGGGGTGCAGGAAGGTGGCAGCAAGGACAAGACCACGGTCGGGCAGTTTCACTCCTTGCCTGCATTCGTAACTGGCATTTTTGGCATCGTCAGACTAACTAATCCACCCCACCTCCGATTTGCTAGAGTTGGAGCTTTTTCATTTTAGAAATGAACGGGACCAGAGTGAGATTCACAGGACAAATAGGGCTGGGGACTGAATTTTCCCTCCCTCCTCTCCCCTCCCATCTTTTCTGCACATGAGCCACTGCTTCAGTCTTAACATGTTCACAGAGCAGAGACAGACCAGGAAACCTAAATCCCAGGGCGGCTGAATCTCTGTGAGTGATCTGAAGGGAGAGAGTTTAGAAGAAGACTACGCAGGAAGGGGAGAGGTTGCAGCAAGGGTGTTAGGAGAAACTGCCTGGAGGACTGAGGGATTTTTGTAGGCTCTTCTTTGCTGAAACACCTGCTTCTCCACCCAGTGCCACTTTAGTTGGGCTTAGGGGTTGCCAGAGTTACCACTTGATGCCTCCAGAAACAATTTGGTTAGAGGTGGGGATCCCTCTTGTAGGATCCCTGATTCCTCATCTGTTGGTTCCCTTGGTGATATCACTGTGTCAAAGCTTCACCTTGTGCTTTGGTCATCTCCTTGTCCTCCTCATCCCCTCAGCTGTCATCAGTTCTAGACCCCCACAGAGGGGCCCTGACTCATTTTGGGAGTCCTTCCCGGAGGTGGGCCAGGCTGGAGGAAGCAGGGGCAGGGGATGGGGTGGCACAGGAAGAACACAGAAGGGGAATAAGGGTGCCCACAAAGGCCAAAATGTTCAAGAAGTACCAGAAATCTGAAGGGGGCACCAGGAAGGGAATAGGAGGTTTGTGAAAGTGACTGAGACTGTGGCAGCTGCGTGAAAGGGGAGCAAACTCAAGATTCAGAAACCAAACTGCCCCATCCAGTCCACCCCTTTCCTCCTGAGACCAAGTTACAGTGATTTTTCTAACCCACAGCTGAGAAAGAGGGGATGTTACCTGCCCTGATTAAGACTCAAATCAGGGGGCGAGGACATGTCTCTCCCCAGCCTCCGGGCTCTTTTCCCCATTACCAGCTCCTGCCTCTGAGGCCAGGCCTGGCTGCACTGCTGTCAGTCTCGAGGACCACTGTACCCAGGCAAGGACTTACAGCTATTTGATCTTCCAGAGACAATGTGGTTCAGAGAGACCCTTTAAATGGGGTGGGGTGGGGAGTGACACAAACAGGAAAAACACCACTTGTTTGATGGGAGAGTTTTCAGGCTTTTTTTTTTTTTCATTTCTGTACTTTCCAAGTTTGTTTTTCATTAGTTCATTCCTCTGGTCTCTCATCTCTCTCTCCTGCGTGCTCGCTCTCGGTTTTTTTTTTTTTTTTTGGTTGTGTGTGTTTCAGTTTTTTTTTTAAAGAACTTTGGATTTGCCGTTGGTGGGCAGCGCCGGTCCCGGAGGCTGGACCCCCACATGGCAGGGCTGGGACAAGGGGCAGGCCCACGGCTGCTGAGAGTATCTCTGTGTTTAAAGCCTTTGAGAATAATTTACTGTAGTTCCCAGGGTGCAGGGTGGGGGTTGGCAGAGGGTTTCCTGGCAGCGGCTTCACCTAGAGTCCAGGCCACAGGGGTTCCCCTGTCAGGGGAGGAGAGGGTGAGGAGGGAAGGATGTGAGGAGAGTGAGCTGGGAGCACTTCTCCCCGCCAACCTCCAGTTTGGTTAGAGTTTTGTGGGCTCCCTGCCCATCTCAGGCTCCAACCTTGGGAGCCAGCTGGGTATTTGGAGTCTGTGAGCTGTATGGTGCTCTAGACAGCGCGGGAGCGGGTAGGAAGGGGGAGTGGCAGAAGTTTATTTTCCTTCCCCCTTCTTAGTCTTGGGTTTTCTTTTTCCTTTCTTCTCTCTCTCTTCTTTTTTTTTTTTTTGGTTGTTTTCTCATTCAGTGGAACTGCATGGGATAACATGTATTTGCAGGTTTATAGGAGTTGGAGGGATGACTGGGAATTCAGTAGGAAAGAGGTTGTAGGAAGATGAAACCCAGGGCAGTTTTTGTGTCTGGTGGGCAGGGCAGCCTGAATAAGCAATCAGGATGGCAAGATGGGTGTGTGTGCCCATGAGGAAGGGCGAGGATTTGCGTAGGATCAGTGTGTCTGTGGGGGTGGGGGAGGAGGCAGGCCTCTGCTGGAGGTGGGGTGTGTGAAGCCCACTGAGGGTGGGAATGGAAAGATTCCCACGAGGTGGGCGGAGCCAGGGGTGGGGTGAGGGATTTGAGCTCCCACCCAACACCCCTTGGGGTAAGAGGAGCCAGAGGCCTTCCCTTCCCCTGAATCTTGGTTTATCTGTTTATAAAGCTAGAAGTGTAGAGGTAGTAGTAGTTTTTGGGTTGGAGTCCGTGTGAGGTAATCTTGCTTCCTCTTTGGCAAAAGCCACAGCAGCCGTGGCGGCAGTGGTGGCATTGGTGGCGGTGACAGGTGGGCCCCCTGGGGGCGGGGCCGCCTTGCGCCTGTGGGCCGAGGAGCGCAGGTGCGAGGCCAGGGCTTCGCGCCCACTCAGCAGCACCTCACATGCCAGGCAGTGGTAGGTGCAAATGGGCACCCGCAGTGGTGGGGGCACGGAGCCCCCAGAGCCCCGCCCAAAGAAGCAGAAGGATCTCTGGTGAGCAGTGGCCAAGGCCTCCCCGTCGAATGCCATCCTGCACTGGCGGCACAGGTAGCGGTGGGTCACATCCACGGTGGAGATGCCAGTGCTGCCCGTCAGCAGCTCGTCGGCCTCCCCGGCCTCGCCCTCCCCTGGAGCGGGCAGTTCAGGCGGCTTTGGAGGTGCTGTGGCCGTGGGCTCGGGGGGCTGGGGCGGTGGCTGGAGGAGGGTGTTGGGGAGCAGTCCAATGAGGGTCTGAGGTATCACGGGGTTCATGGGAAACAGCCCCTTCTTCATGCCATAGAGCTGTTGGAAGTAGGCCCCCTGTAACTGGGGGCCAAAGACAGCTGGCGGTGTGGCCCCCCCTGCAGGGGGCAACGGGAAGGGCAAGAATTGGCCCCCTAACAGGGCTGGGACAGTGGCCTTCAATGCTTTGAGGTTCTTGAGGGCGTCAGTGGAGGAGCTGGTGGGGGCTGCAACTGGCTTTCGCTCACCAGAGACCTTGTCCCCAGAGGGTTCAGTAGGCAGGCCTGGGGCAGGGTCACTGGTGCCTGTGGTGGAGGTGTTGGTTTGGTCAGGCATAGGTCTCTGAGGTAAGGGGCAGCCGGGGCCAGCAGTCTGGACCACTGTGGTAGCAGGCAGGACTGAAGTGGCGAGGCCAAGGAGGCCTGAGGAGGCTGCAGGGCCTAGGAAGATAAAGTGTTGAATGATTAGCCACTTTGTGGTACCATCACTTTTCCTGCTATAGGCCACCTCCAGCCAGACATTCCGCATTCCCACCACCTAGGTTCCATGCTCCCACCCCTCCCTTCCCTCCCCCATGAACCAAAACAAAGGGAGGCCAGGGAGGGGACTGGAGATAGGCGGAGTCAAGAAGGAAAGTGAAAGGCTAGTCTTTAGAGGGAGATGCCCTCTGAAGTCCAACTCCTCCCAACCTCCCACTCACCTGAACTGAAAGGAGCTAAGCTGCCCAGCGGGGGCTGGGCCAGAGCTGGACCAGACAGGAGGACCGGGGCCAGGCGAGGCAGAGCTGGGGCAGTCCCAAGGGGCACAGAGGCAGGTGTGGTGGCAGGTGGAGCCTTGGGAGCTGGAGGTGCCTCGGGTGCTGGGGCCAGGTCATAGCTCTTGCTCTCACTCTTCAGCTGGGCTCGGACGGCCTCCTTGAGCTTGGCCAAGTGCTGGCGGGAAAACAGATGGCCTCGGCAGGAGACATAGAAATCATACTTGACGTCACAGTAGGGGCAGTCGGTGCGCTGGACTCCTAAGGGGCCCTCACTGCTGCCCCCAGCCCCCCCAGCTGCTGCCCCCTGCAGTTTGGCCTTCTTTTCCTTGGCACGAGCATTCTGGAACCAGACCTGGATGACTCTCTTGGGCAGCCCGATCTCCTCCCCCAGCACCTCACACTCCTGCATGGTGGGGGTGCGGTAGGCTTCGTAGCAGGCTTTCATTATCTTCAACTGCAGGCTGCTCATCTGGGTCCTGTAGCGCCGCTGCCCCATTCCGTCTGGAATTCCGGCCCCTCCTCCTGGACCCCCACTGGTCCCTCCAGCCCCAGGGGACTCTGGTTCAGCCAGGCTAGACGCTGACGAATCACTTAGATCCCCTGCAGATGGACTGCAAGCCTCACTCTCTGGAGAAGCTTTAGATGGTTCCTCTGGACCCTCATCCTCACTGGGTGGTGGGGGAGGTGGGAGAGGTAAAGGTGGCTCTGGTGTCGGGGTGGTGGCCTCTTTCCCAGGTGGTAGGAAAGGCAGGGGCCCGGCAGCAGGGGTGACTGTGGGGTAGGGGAAAGCAGGTGCTTCCCTCTTTGGGGCCTCCCTTCCAGCCCCATCATCCACCTTGCCCAGCAGGAGGTTGAACTTGGGGAAGGGTGCAGGGCTGGGTGTGATGGGGGGCTTGACTGCCGGATTGGGCACTCCCCCAGGGGTGCTTCGAAACTGGCCTTTCCTCTCCCGAGCCCTGGTGTTTTGGAACCAGACCTGCACCACTCGCTTCTTGAGTCCCACCTCCTCGGAGATGCAGTCCAGCATCTTGCGCGTGGGGTTGGAGTCCTGCATGTACCAGCGGTACAGGATCTCCAGCTGTTCGGGCAGGATGGTGGTGCGCAGGCGCTTGTCCCTGGGGGGCTCGCCCTCCCCCCCACCCCCGGCTTCACTGCCCGTGGGGGACAGGCTGCCGTCCTCGTGCTTCCGTTTGAGGGGTGGCCCCGGCACTGGTGGAGTGCCTGCCACCAGGGGGTTTCGCTCCCCAAACACCAGCAGGGGAAGGTCTAGGAGGTGGGGGGCAGCGCTGGGCTGCACGGATGGCAGGAAATGGAGTCGGCGGTGACTGGTCAGGAGGTCCTGGCTGGGGAAGGACACAGCGCACTGGTCACAGTTGTGGACTGGGGAAGGCGAGGGAGGGGCCCTCCCTTCAGGCTCTTTGCCTCCTGGCTTTGTGGCCTCTGCTTGGCTCAGCTCTTCCCTGTCTGTAGGTTCCGGCAGTGGGCCCTCCGGCTTTGCTGGGGGTTCCAGGCCCTGTTCCTCCTCTGTGTCTTCCTCCTCCACCTCTTCCTCCTCTTCCCCTCTCTCTGCCTCCTCTTCCTCCTCTTCAGGAGGCTGGTCATCATAGCACTTCTTGAGGTGCCGCACCAAGTCAAAAACGCAGGAGAAGGTGGCATGGCAGCGCCTGCAGCCAGAGGCTCCCCCAGGGCCCCCTCCGCTTGGCATGGGCCCACCCTCACTGGCGTTTTTGCGAGCTTTCTGGCGGGCATTCTGGAACCACACTACCACCACACGGCTAGCCAGGCCCAGGAGACTTGCGAGCCGCTCCACCTCTCCATCCTTGGGGTAGGCACTGGTCTCAAAGAAAGACTGCAGGGCTTGGGTCTGGAACTCAGTGAACTTGGTTCTGGAGAAGCGGCGGCCTGCAGGCACTAGGGGAGGAAGATTCCCTCTGGAGCTTTCTTCCTCCTCTGGGGGCCAGCGTCCTCCTGCCCGGCTTCGCTCCTCAGGGGGACGGGTCCCCCCAGCCTCAGGCTCTGGGACCAGGAAGTGTGGGCCCAGCTGGGGAGCAGGTGAGTCCAGAGACCCATCAGGGGGTTTGGGGGACTCATCGGGGGGTGGGTAGAGGCTATCATAGCTCTTTCGAAACTGAGCAGCGTAACGGCTCAGGGCCTCGAAGGGCAGAAAGCGGCGGTGCACGTGCTCCTCGTGCGTCTTGAGGATGAGCATATTGGAGAAGAGTTTCCCACAGGCCCCGCAGGCCAGCTTGTCCCCACCCCCCAGGGCCTCTGGTGGGGGTGGGGTTGGGGGAGGGGGCACAGCCTGCTTCCCTTCATTGTACTGGATTACCAGCTCAAACCCGAAATTTTCCAGAAGGGCTTTGGCTGCGGTGCGGGCTGCCTCATTGGGCATGGGGTGAGGGGGTGAGGTGGGTGCTGCCTCACTCCCTTCTTCGGTCATAGGGGGCCGCTCCCACTCTCGTTCAGCCAGCTCGGCCTTAGGGGGCGGGGGTGGGGGTGGAGGGGCGGCAGCCGGCAGGGACAGCAGGGGCGCAGGCCCAGCCAGTGCCAGCTTGGGCCCTACCTTGAGGTCATGGAGGTAGAAGGGCAGGAGCAGCTGCTGCTGCTGGAGCTTCAGCAGTGACTCGGGCACCAGAGGGAAGGGGGGCAGGACCGGTGGGGTGAAGAGGGGGGCTGGGAATCGGTGCAGGTCCAAGGGAGGTGGAGGAGGGGATAGGAAGGGTAATCCAGACATGAAGCCCCCAGGATCAGGGCCCTTCTTCTCAGTGCCCACCTCCCCCTCAGTCTCGCCTTCCTTGGGCTCTTCCGGGCCACGCTCTGGCCCCTCAGCCTTGGTGTCAGTCTTGGCTCCCCTCGAGCGAGTCTGGTGCAGGACGGAGCGCATGTGGATCTCCAGGGTGGAGCTCTGGTTGTAGGAGACCCGGCAGACTGTGCACTTAAAGGGCTTGTCTGTGGCCCCAGCGGTGGTGGGCGCGGTGCTGGCTTCTCCCCGGGCAGGGCTGGAGGGGTCAATGGCAGCCTTCTTCATTTTGTGCAGGTGGGAGACCGAGTTATAATGGACCAGGAGGATGTTCTTCTGCGTGAAGGACTCCTTACACACAGTGCACTTATAGGGCCGGGCAGGGTCAAGAAACTTGTCCAGGGCAAAGTTGGTGGTCTTCCGATAGGTCAGAGGGTGGCGAGAGTCAGCTGGAGCTGGCTCTGCTGGGCGGGGCTCCCCGCCAGCCCCCTCTTCCTCCTCAGCCATGGTGGGTAGAGGAGCCACTTCGTCAGCTTGGGCCTCAGTCCGAGGGGCCGGAGATGGGGCTGGAGAAGGGGGCTGGTCAGGGCTTCCCATGGGCTTGTCGGGGCCCTCAGCTGAGGGCAGGGGAGGCTCAGGAAGAGGATCGGGACTGGCTTCCGGGGTCAGGTGAGGGCCTTCTAGGGGAGAGAGAAGGGGGCGCAATGAGAGGGTAACCTTTTCTAAGTCCGACCCCACCCACTCGATATCTAGGGCAATTCATCCTTGCCTCCATTGTCTTCAGACCTTCTTGGTCTGAGGAGCCCAGGTGCCCTTTTCCTGCCACCTTGGGAGGTCGGCCATCCCCTTCCTTACCTACTGCTTGGTTTCTGCTGGGCATGGGCTCTGGCCCAGGAGCAGGAGGCTCGGGGCCATCACCCTGAGGGCTGAGAGTGGGCCCGGGCAGCACTTTGGTTGTCAAGGTCATCTCTACAGTTGTGGCCTGCAATGGAAGAAATCCTAGTGCCTTCCCCTCTGCCTGAGGCCACTCCAACCCCCTGCTCTGTGTCTGTGCCAAGCCCCCTTCCGGGGCTCCCGTCCCCTCTTTGGACAAACCTCCCACCTAATTCCTGCTTTCGCCACAGAGGAGAAGGCCTTGGCTGCCACCTCTGTATGGCAGCCACGCCTGCAGTGGAACAGCTCTTCTCGGGGCCCAGTAGCGCTTCCTCAGAGGCTGCTAGACAAGTTCAGCTCTGAGGTTCCCTCCAGCCCGAAACTCCCCCTTCAGATCAGTGCAGAGCCACTGCCCTCCCCACCCCCTCCCCACAACACACAGCTGCCTAGACAGACACCATCATCTCTGCCTCCCCTCGGCCCGGGTCGGCCCCCAGCCTGTACTCACCACAAGCAGCAGCTTCTCAACACACTCGGGCACCACGTTGTGCAGGTGGCTGAGGTGGAAGTGGAGGGCTGGCCGGCCCACCAGCTGCTCCTGGCACAGCGGGCAGCGGTACTTGGGCTGCACTGCATGCTGGGAGAGGGCGTGAGCCCTCACCTGGTCGGACTCGGGGCTCAGGAAACTGCAGTACGGACAGCAGAACACCTGCGGGCACATGGGCAGTGCAGGAGGTGTCAGGGAAGGGTGGGACCCCTCCATCGCTCAGCGCTTGGGTTCCGGGACACACTCCCCACGTAGGAGGGGCGAGCCCCCGTCCTGAGAGCAGGCTCCTCCCTCGCTTCCCTCAGACTGGGACAAAGGCCGCGGCTGGGCTGCCACCTTGCCTTCCTTCTTTGTCCTGTCCTCTTCCTCCAGCCTGGCTACTCTCTTCCCTGCCTCTGCTGCCCTACTCGGTTCTCTAGCCCACAGGATGGCCCTCCCCCGATTAAATTTTCTTACCTGCCCCAACCCTGCCCATATCTTCTCCATGAAACAGCTCCCCTTCCCTCCGGCGCTTCCTGGACCCAGAGGCTCCCCAGTCCCTGCCCACTCTGCCTCTCCAGAGTCCCTGAACGGAGCGCCTCATGAAGTGGGCCCTCCCTACCTGTCCTCCCAGAAGCCGGCTCATTCTCCCTCAGAGGCTCAGCAGCTCCCACTTACTTTTCCTTCTTTTTTTTCCTTCCCGTTTTAATGTAAACAAACACCACAGCTCCCCCAGTGGCCCAGGAAAATCCTGGCCTGGCTCTGTTGGCGCATTCCCGCCCACACCTCCAGAGGGTGGAGCTGGGAAGCTTGGGGGGGGGGCTGTGCTTCCGCCTCAGTCACCTGACTGCCTGACCTCCAGCCTGCACTTCTGTCTCCCATGCTCACGTCCTCTCCCGTCGCCTGTGCCACTGGTCCAGGCCCAAGTGTCAGGGAGGAGATGGCCATAAAGGAAAGGGATCCAGACACTCAATGCACCGAGCCCTAAGAGCGGATGCCTGGCATAGGTCTGTTGGACGGAATAGGAGTTAGGAAGAAGGGCAGCTGAGGACAGAAGCCATTGCTGCAGCAGCTGGCAGTAATGCAGCAACCCTGCTTATTGCAAGAACAACACACCCTGCAGACCAGTTAGGAGAGCAGTGAGGCGCAGGGTGGCATCTCAAGGCCAGAGGCAGGGAATCCCCTCAGAATCAGCACTTTCAGGCCACAGAGCTACACGCCTCTTGGGCCATCCCTGGGTCAGGCAGAGGCCCGAGTCCTGAAGACACTGAGACCTTTTGGCAGAGCTAGCTGTCAGGGTGGACCATCTGGGTCAGTTCCTTTCCCCTCAGAAAGAAGGTGCCAGGACAGTTCCACCCTGGGTCGGGGCTCTCTGTAGGAGATGAAATTCCACATCTCATCTTTCTGCTCCCAACAGGAAGGAATAAAGAGCCGGGCAGCAGCTAGTGTTTTGTTTTTGCCTTTCTCTTTTCATTTCTTTTCTTTCCTCCCTCCCTCCCCCTACTTCTAATCTTTCTTCCCCTCCATACAGTTTCTCTCTCCACCTCTCCGTCAAACTTTCACCTTCCTGTCACCTCCCTCTGTGCTCCCCTCAACAGGGCCAGCTCTGCTGGTGCTCACATCTGTAACTAGGCCTAGGTGCCATTTCTGAAATGTGTTTGGAGTGACAGAAGTCACAGGTGTGACAAAACTAGGTCTACCTTTGGTCTGAAATCTCTTTAAAGCTTTACTAATTACAAATGCAGCCTTTAGAAGGTGAGCAGATCTCAGTAAAGTCAGATCCCCTCCCCAGCAGGTCGTCCCAGCTACCCCAGTTCTGACCGTGGTCTGGCTGGCACTGTCTCCAGGAGGGCCGGTCTTGTTCTCTGCTTCTTCAGAAGCTGGAGATAAAGGGAGAGATTTAAAAACTCTTAACAGCCCTCCCTCTTCCTTTCACAGACCCCTGGCCCTTAAGATGACCTGATTTGTGGTAGAGTGCCTCCAAGGTAGGGGGTGGGCTCAGGAGAAAGGGCAGGAAAGTAGGGGATTGTTCTCAGTACAGGGAGAGGAGGCTCAGCAGGGCTGACCCCAGGTGAGCAGGACGGACAGGTCTGGGTCTTCATAGAGGCCAGAAGCACCCAGCTTTCTGTGGCTCTGCCCCCCTTCCCTGATGAACCTCTTCTTTTGATCACTTTAGCTCCTTCTGCACAGGAGACCTTGCTGGACATCTGGATCCCCACAAGGTCCTGTGAACATCTCAAAATGTATGAGGATTGCGGGGGTGGGGAGGGGTAAGGGATGGAAGAAAAACGGACCAGAAAAGCAACTCACCCAACTGTTCGGTCTTATTCTGGGCATCTTTCTCAGGGGTGGGTGGCTCAGCTGACGGGGTGATGGGAGCCTTCCCTGTGGAGGATGAGAAGAAAGTCAGGTTAAAAGGATGAAGTGTCAGGGAAAGGAGGACAGCAGGGTAGAGGAAGTAGCCAGGCAGGAAGGAAAAAAATGCAGAGATGAATCCACAGGCAGGAGAGGACAAAAAGCCGCCAAAAAGAAATCACAGTGTGAGAACCGAGAGGGCCCAAGAAATCATCTCTGTGAGTCTAGCCCCCGTCATTGAAAGATGATAGGTCCAGCAGTAGGCGACAGAAACTGGACAAGACCAAACTCAGCTTCCTGTCTTGACTAATCCTGGAAGCAGGGAGCCCAGAAATGTCGAGTGAGGGGCACCGAAGAGGGAACGTGGGGTTGAGTGGGGGCAGCTGCGGCGAGCAGGAGGCGGTGGGTCTCGCTAGGAGAGGAGATTACCACTCAAGCAAGAATTGACAGATGTGTAGGAATTTATTTTCGGTGGCGGCCTAATTAAAGTGTTAAAGTTCCTTAACTCCATTCAGCCCTGCGCCAGGATCGTTAGCTATTGATCTGGGCCCCTCCGGCACTTAACTCCAGCCAGCGTATTGGCAATTCAATTAGCACCAGTCAATGCTGCCTGCTCCGGGTTCCTGCTGCCCAGGCCCTCACCCTCGCCCACTGCCGGCCTCTGTCAAGCCCAGATGCCTGTGCCCACCTGACAGCCCCTTTCTAGGCTCTTCTGCACCCTCTCGATCAGTGGTGCCTGGCAGGCTGTTCCAGGTCTCTGCTGGTCCAACCTCAGCTGCCTAAGGGGTCCCTAAGCCCAGCCTTCAGGCTGAAGACCTCCTAGGAGACAGGAAGAGGCTGGGGAGCTCATCAAGGGCTTCCCGTCCTGCTGCCTGCGGGCCATGCCCACAGCTCTCATCTCCTTCTGGCAGGTTTTGGCCCAGCACGAAGTGGTTTCTATTTTTCTGGGTTCTCTCCCTTCTCTCTCCTTCCTGACTGTCTCCTGCCCCCGCCCCTGACCCCCAGCACTGCCAGCACAGCGGTCACTACGCATCACTACTCAGAATCACCTCCCTTCCTGTTCGCGATTTCTCCACCTGGCAAAATCCCTGCTCTTCTCTGTCCCCTCCCTCCAACAGCCTCTTGTTCCCTCTTCACTCAGCTGCCCCGATGGCCCTGGAATCGGTTTGAGCATCCCTTCCACTTGCTCTGGATGGTGCACAGACCCATTTCTCCATCTGGGGCCGCTTTCTCCTCCGCCCCCAGCTCCCACCCTGGCTCCCCTCCCTCTCCAGTCCCCTCTTCCTCACCAGGGAGTCTGGAGCTGCCCATGGCTGAAGCTCAGGATGCCCTGAAGAGCCGAGAGCCCCTCGTCGGCCGTGAGGCCGCTCTGCAGCAGCTGCAGACGCCGCTGGGCCTGGGCGTCGCGGTGGGCCGGTGCGTGCAGGTGCTGCAGCACCGCCAGGCGGGAAGGTGTCTCCCAGGCACACAGCAGGCAGCGGAACAGCCCCAGCTCCGCCCCCGCCGCTGCCCCCTCCATCTCCAACAGAAACTGGAAGCAGGGAAAGAGGCTGCTCAGGTCCAGAAGGGATAGCCACCCTCAGATCTCAGGGGACTCCTTTGCCTCCCCCAGGGGAGCCTGACAGCCAGCATCCCTTCCTCCCTCTTGAGCCCTCCTTTTCCTTCCTCTGGCCACCTGAGGGTTACTGCCTTTTCTCCCCATCTCCTCTTCCTCCTACCAGTCCTGGACTCCCTCCGGGTACGTGAATGGAATCTGGGTCCATCCTCTTGAACTTCTGGTGACAAGATGGACCGAGCAGACACAGAACCCTCCCCCTAGCCCCAAACACCAGAAAAGCTGAATAAAGTACTGGAGTCACTTGTTCGCAGTCACCATCCTTTGGTCTCTTTCCCCACATCTTTCTCCAAATAGTTTTCACCCTAGTGGGCTTGCCTTTTTCCTCCAAGTCCACCCGCCTGAGTTTTCACATCACTTTCCCACTCTGCATCTCCGGGCTCCACCCCCCCCCCGTCTCCTTTTCCTTTCCTCTCCCCTAGAGGCTCTGTGCTGGACCCTTCAAATCTCAGATCCTTCTGGCTCCACTCTCACCTTATAGATGTGGCTGTTTTCTTCATGGGCTGCGCCCCGAGCATGCAGCTGCATCTTCTCCTTGCTGTTGGACTCAAAGTCACAGATGTTGCAGCGCAGGTGCAGGTGGGGGACAGACCCATAGTGAGCCCCATCTCCCAGGGGCACTGGGGAGGGGGTGCCAATGGCCCCACCCCCCTCCCTCAGGTGGGCCGCCAGCTGGTACTTCTGAGCATGTTTGTCGGTCTTCAGGTGGAGCTGGAAGTTGGCCTTGAGCTGGGTGCCATAGCAGCAGAGCTTGCAGCGGTGGGTGTCGCCGGCCACCTCCTTCCACTCGGCCTCCGGGAGGCTCCGGCCCAGGCTGCAGTGGTAGAGCAGCAGCTCCAGGCTGTCTGTGCTGAAGGCCTGGCACACGAGGCAGCGGAACACCTTCAGGGATGGGCTGTCATCTGGGGGTGGCGAGGTGGGCAGCCCATCAGACAAGGAGCCTAGGAGCTGACTTGGAGGCAGGTGGGCGTCCGGGGAGGAGCTGCCAGGGGCTAGGGGACAGAGACAGATTAGTGGCCCCAGGTTGGCTTGCTCTGTGGGAACATGCGGGGTGGGTGTTGACGGAGCTGGAGTGACCTAAGGTGGGGCGGGTCTGGCCCTTGGGAGGAAGCAGGGAAGCGAGTCTGGCTCTGGGGAAGGGAAGAGCGCCCAGGGAACTAACTTACCAGGTGTGGGGAACTTGCGGGCAGGCGCTCCGAGGTGGTGGAAGCCATTGAGAAGCAGCTGCGCTTCCAGGGGCTTGTCTGGCCTCAGTCCGGGGCCAGGCAAGGAAGCCTGAGGCTGCCCTATGGCCTGCGGTCCGAAATACTGAAAGAGTTCCGGGGGGGTGGTGGGCGCACCCCCGGCTTGGGGAGGGGGGCCTGGCCCCACC